CTTGGGGGATCTTCCACAGATCAGACCATGACAAGGATCTGTCTGTGACGCCCTCCCATCTTGTCCAGCCTCCCTGCCGTATCTGAGACAACGCTTTAATTTTAACACGCTCCAGCTCGGTCCTTGTCACTTCTGCTACCACCATGGCTTTCCGTTCTTCTTTGGAGGCCTTTGACCAAAATAGAGGGGGGTCGCTCCTCCCAAGGCCTGCTCGGCCCTCCTGAACTCTTCCCACCACCTCTTGATGCTTCAGTCTGCTGATTGCCCTATCAACCTCTTCTTGGGCTTTCCACTTCCTCCCTGTTCGTACCTGGGAGTCAGCTGCTCTCACCAGCTGGTCAGTAGACTCAATCTCTTTATGTTGTCTGAATCCAATCACTGGGGTTTGGAAAGAAATGTGATGTGGACACGATATGTCTTACTTCAAAGCCATTTTTATATAACATTTCAATTAGCCAGTCAGTTTAACATAAAATCTCAGTATATAAACCAAGAACAAAATCTTATATTATTTCAATAATTAAGTCCAAAAAAAAACTTTAGTTCCATAAAACAAATTAAATATATATATATTTAAATTCTTCACTGGGTATCCAATTGCTAAATATAAAGTAAAAATTCTGGCCAGCTCCTCCTTACTGTCCCGTCCGGAGAAAAAAAAGGAGACTGGCGTTCTTAGTGTCCTTCGGCGGGAAGGGAGAAGCGAAATGGCGACGTGTTGTTTTCCCCGGCCACTCGTCCTGGCAAGGAAGGCTGGCAAAGGAGGCAGATTTTGATAGCAAAATAGTAGTTTAGACGCTACAAATGTCGGCAGCAACGCTCAGCTCTGTCTATACCCCGCTCGCTCACAGCGACTTGTAAAACAGTTCGCCAACCTCCGCAGAGCGTAATGACACAGAGCATACGTTGCTTTGAGCTGTTGCGATAGTACCAAAAATATGCCTGCTTCACTTAAAACAAGTGCAATTGCCAGGTAAGCTAAAAAAAATATATAACTAGACAAATAGGGCAAAAATTGCTTAAAGAAAATAAAAGTACACAGTTACATAAAAAAATTGTCCCACTAAAACAGAACCAAGAAAAAAAAAAAATAATTTTAAAAATCAATTACGAAATACCATGTAGGTTACACCACCACAAGTTCTACTGCTGCAGCAGCTGGTGCAGGCCCGGAGGAGGAGGCAGAATTAGCGATTCAGGGAGATACGTCGGAGGAGGAGGATGAGGAGAGAGACGTTGCCCAGGGAAAGATTGAGGAATTAGTTACTGTCCAGCCTGGTAAAAACTAGCCGAAATACTAATGAAGAGGGACGTGTCATGTAGGGAGTGCAAAGAGCTGGAGTGTGTGTGTGTGTGTGTGT